CGCGTTTGACTTTGCTGGTAGAGTTATCACCCATCCCAAGTGAAAAATAAAATACTATGTCCCATTTTTAACCAGCACTGGATGCAAATTGTCCAGTATTTAGTCAGGTTGAAAGTGAAAACCCTAATAGCTGGTGTTGGTAACTGTAAACACTAGCATTCTGTATGTTACACTGGATGGCAATGCTTCCAGTGGTGAAATAAGTTCACATTATTTCCAGTTTAGTTTCGATCACGTTTACAGTATACAGCAGCATCTGTTGGATGTCAAACATTAAAGATCAGGAGAGCAGGTTCCTGTTTGTGTGGTGGCCCATTATGGACCAAACTGCGTTTCTTTGCCACAGTTCCATGGCCCACTGGAGGCCGCTCACATCCTCGTACTGGGCTGCAGACCGGTGACTGACAAACACCAGTCAACATCTGTGCCTGAACACTCACAATGGCCTTGTCTCACACAGGAGACATGGTTGTGTTGACTTGTGGAACAAAAGGGATCCACTGGACTCTTCTGTGTAACTGCAGCCTGAAGGTAGACTAGTTTTCTGGGGCCAGCACCAATACCTCATTATAATCCAGTCAGAATAGCTCAGCCACTCATAAAAATTAGCCAGCCCCCACCCCCGGCCCATTCCCCTGGCAGGCAGGGGAAGGACACCTGTTTCCCTGTATCTGGCACCCCCGTACCTTCCCCTTCTCTCTGATCCCCCACCCCCCCATTGAGGAGCCACATCTGCACGCCATTCCTGCCCAGTGCTATGGCTCTTTTTCAAGTGCAAATGTCCTAGGCGGCAGGCCTCCATGAGTCCCTAATGCAATGCGATAGTGGGCTGCCCCACGTCCTGCCATTTTCACCGCCCGTGCTCTCTTTGAGCTCCTGAGGGGGCCTGACCAGAGAGCAGAGGTTGTGCTGTTCATTCCCATTAGGTACACAACGCTCAGTGTCTCCGGACGCAGACTGGACCTGCCTCATTTAAAGGTGGAAGCAGCATCAACAGGCGCTCTATTTTTGAGCTCAACAGGTACCAAAACTTTTGCGAGACCCCAGCTGTTTCTGACTGGGCCTGTATCAGTAACATCTGTCTGGGGGACAGGGGGAGGTGGTTTGGGGTGACTGGTATCAAGGGCAATGGCCTTGTTCTTTTTCTAGAGTGTTTCCTGTTGACACCCCCTATCCCCCGTAACTGTATTCCTGAGAGTAGCCTGTGATAGCCTGTCTGGTTCCACTGCTCTCCATCAAACATACTGTAGCGACCAGAAGCCATGAATCAACAGCCACTGCTGTCCTGGAGACACATTGATATGTGCAGCAGGGCCAACATCTTGGTCTGCTTTAACTGGACCCAGAATGCGGTCCATCTGGCCGCAGGAGCACCAAGCTGCCAAGTAAACATTACATTGCACATAAGGATTAAAAGTGTATTAAAAGACACTGCAAACCATTAACTTCGACTCAGTCCGTCGATTTATTGCACAGTAAATATATTGGCAGTTTTAGCATGCAAAATTTAAGGGCTTAAAGTAACATGAAGAAACGGCCACGCTATAGACAGGCAATAGCTATTGGGGCTGGCTTTACCGAAGAGATGAAAGACTGCGCCTGCTTTGCAGCATCAACAATGGTTTCACTAAATCTAATCGGTGACACGTGGTTTTCAGGACAACCACTTAGATGGGGCTGGGCTGTGCCCTGCGATTAAAGAGACGCATTGGCGAGAAGTGGTTTTAATTTTTTTTTCATGATATATTTTTTCAGAATAGGTTACAAAGTATACAGTTGGCACAATGTGGGTACATAATATCGTAAGTGACTTATACGATACAGCTTTAGTACCGGAAAAGCCTCGACAATAGTAGACGGTCTGACAAGCAGACGCAGAAACACAAGAGGGCAACAATTTTCCATGATTATTATTACGTCGTTGTGTGTGGACTTATTTAAGCAGCATTTAAAATAAAGCATTTTCTTTGAGTGTTTTCGCGCTTGCCTTTTTTCCTGTCGGCATACCGCGGAATGGACAGCTGGGCTCCAGAAATAGTCGGCTAAAGTTTTAACTTAAAACTTGAAATCTTTTCAAAGAAAATGAGCATCTTTATTGGAGAGGTCTTGGATTTACGTCAAGTTATTATTCTGGCAATATGAATTGGGTCCGAGTTTTACATCGATATTTCAGGCAGTTTCCAGATCAGTTGCCTGGCAAATTGCATAGCTTATAACAACTTCTGTTTTTTAGGGATTGTAGGCATTACAGTTACTTATTGAAAACAAGATTAGGCAAACGAGAAATGAGGCAAATAAGAAATATGTTGTCCATCCATCAGGTCAGTGTTGTCCGCTTCACACACCTCGGTGTAACGGGGGGGTGGGGGTTTGTAACCAAATCAAAACCGGATAATACAACCCCCCCAATAATCATGTCTCCCCCTAAATGGGCGGAGACCTCAACCCCCCCCCCCCCCCCATTGTTCAAACCAAAGTTACGCACTACTAGGGCAAAACTTGGAACCGCGGGAATCGAATTCAGAAAATGTATTTAGTTGGTTTATTTTGGGATGGTACAATTCTTAAACTTCGCATCAATTCATGAAAGACCTACGTTTATATGACGAATAATTTTGAATGAATAATTTGCAAATGTCCATAATGGACAATACAGAACGTTCTCCGTTACGTGCCGTGTTATAAAGAGCATTTCGGCTTGGGAAATGGATTTGCTTCATTTGTTGGTTTCACATCGTGAGCTGATGAGAGCATGTAACGCAGTACATTGATAATTATTGTAAATAATGTCCAGATAGAGGGCGTTCAGCCAAATCCTGAAGTCATGTTCTTCTACACTGATCGAGTCATTACGCCAGCTATTTCTTAAATAGACGACTTGGAAAACAGGTGTTTCCAATCGTACACTGTTTTTCTCCATGCGATCGTATTCAACAGACAGATATGGGAGATGCTATTACACGACTGGAAAAAATAATGGCAACCGATCGGGAAAAAGAAAATCACGTTTCAGTTGCGTTTTAAATAACAGAGACTGATTGAACGCATTCAGTCAGAGATCTTTTTCAGGGCACTGACATCTGACTTTAAGTTTCAGGATGAATTAGCCTGGGTATCAGCAATAGGGGGGTTTATTCCATTAACCCGTTTTTAAACTTTTGAACGAGATTTTCACCCCTAACAGTCAAAAGCTTAAATCCAAAATAATTTAATCTCAAACCGACGTGCTTTTCATGCACAAAAAGAACAACACATGGAAAAGAACTTAAGTCTTTATTAAGCTTTTTGTGCTTGGCACGTGTATTTACATTTAGAAGGACCTTTTTTAAAAAAAAAAAAAGTCCCGTTTTTCATTTTAATCCATTTGTAATGATTTTTTGGATTCTAGACAAAACTCACTGGTCCGGATTGATACCACTGTCTTATTTCTAGGGACAAAAATACAATAATTCACAACACTCGAAATATACTTGGTTCATTCTTACTATGTAGTACGTCTTCCTGTCTCCATCAAATGACTTAATATATTAATATATGACATACATTCACACGTTTAAAGTGTGGGGACGTGACCATAGAGGAGAACATGCGAATTGCAGATGCAGAGAAGATGTGGGATGCAAGACTCCCAAGGGTGTATTAACGGTGCAAGGAAAACTTAATATATTAAAGCGACATTAACCAAGGTGTGGTAAATGAGCATCAACGGATTTTGAATATAAAGCGGTATTTTCATTCAGCGAATGTTTTCGTGGGACACCCCCTCCCCCCGCCAAAATAGCGGAATATCGTTGCTTTTGTGTCACGGGGCACGGACCGAGGAAGCAGAGGCAGGACATAAGGAGTCGAGAAACACGGGGTTTAATTCAAAGTACAAAACGAGGAGGAACACCGAACATGCAGAACCGACGAAATGACGTTATGACTGGACAGGGGAAATATACTCAAACGCCGACCTACATACGTCAGACTAATTAACAACAAAGAGAAACAGCTGGTTACACAGGGATTCCACGCGAGGTAACGAGGGGGGCGTGGCACACGGCAGGATCGGACGAGCAGGGCATGACACTTTTACGTATGGCAAGCTAGGGCTGTGTTATAAACGAGGATTGACGTGAGTGGTACGCAAGTATATACGCTTTCGTGTGATAAAGGGTTAATGGCACCCTCCACAGTTACTCTCCAACAGTATACAGTGGTACCTCAGAACTCGAATTTAATCCGTTCAGAATTCCGGGTCGAATCCTAAACAGTTCGAGTTCTGATCGAATCTTCCCCATAAGAAATAATGGAAAACCAATTAATTGGTTACCGGCCCCAAGGGCGTAACTTTGGCTGGAACGTTGGGGGGGGGGGGCTTAGGTCTCCACCCATTACGGGGGAAATATGATTATTGGGGGGGGTCGTATTAGCTGGGTTTTTTTTTTAGCATTTAAACAAAATGAACAGGATAAAACAAGAAGAGCATATACTGTACTAAACACATCTAAGCACATTTATCAAAACAGTAATTTGTAAAGTAAGAAAATAAATGTATCCAAACAATGTTTAAAGTAAAAAAAAAAAACAATGTGTTCTGACCTATCCTCGGCTTCTTCCGTGTGCCAGGCACCCTCGTTAACCTCGTGTGGAATTCCCGTGTGATCAGCTGTTTCAGGTTGTTTTCATTAGCCCTCTGTATTTCGTCCGCGTTTCAGTTTCCCCAGTCCGATCATTGTATTGTCCGTCTGCCTTTTGCCTGCCTTACCTGTAATTAAACCCCGTATTCCCTGATACCCTGACGTCTGCGTCTTTGTTTCCCTTCCGTCCCTGCTCAGCAGGACAATATTATTATAATGAAATGTATTAATGGTTTATTATTAATATTAAAATAATAAGAGATCTTCATTTTTAAATGTACTTTATTATATAATAATACTTACTGTCACTATCATTGTCTAAATGTATTTTTACTGTCTAAATATATGTATTCAGCTAGTGTAAACATGCAGGATGCTATCACAGCAAATGCGAGGCTGAGACTAAAGCGTTACCCTTTGTTTCCGCTAAGAGACGTGCCACGTGACTCATTTCCCCACGTGTACAAGTTATCTTAAGTCGGCGTTTACGGTTTGACTTCTGAGTTTCAGATCAAGCTCTAGGTAAAAATTTTTCGAACTGGTTGGTTCGACTTTTAAGAAATTCGAGTTCTAATGAGTTCGAGAACTGAGGTACCACTGTATTTTTTAATTGTTATAACGTGCAAATGCGCATTAAATTAGGATCCTCCTCAGTTTTGCATTTCTGTGAAACTACGGTGTCGACCCCGCTCGTACTACACGGGATTGGCTTAGCTACGCAAGTTCGCGGGTCAGAGCTCCTGTAAATGAACACCGAGCGAAAACGCCCTAGGAAGCCAATTTTCTCCTTGTCAGGTCGCGCAGCTGTAATAGTACTAAATAAGGCGAATACTTTTTCGTGAGTGTCACTGTGCCCTTTGACGAAAATTTGCACTTTATATATTTACATCAGGGATTGAAAAAAACATATTGAGTTTTTTTAAATAATATAAATTGCCAGTCTGATATTATAAGTTAATGCCAAGCATCTGACATGCAAACCTCGTAACTTCCACTCAAACCAAAACAGGGAAATAATTAGAAATTGACCTTGAGGTACATTTCTCCCTAATTTCTTGATACTAATTATATAATTTCCATCTTTTAATGTTTAAGAATTTAACATTTGACAATATATTAAGACATTTCATGGGGACAGGGAAAGGCAATACATAGTAGGATAGGACCGCTGGAGTCATTCGTCGCTTCGTTAATTGCATCAACACACAGCACCCTGAATCCTTATTCTGCCGCCTATGTTCACCAGCATGCATTTGCTAACGAAACGGCACAGTCAGCCCTGGCAAACAGGAGTGTGAACAGCATGGCTGCCTTTGCAGCATGATGATCCGCTCTGCTCGCTGTTAGCTGGACTCTGAAACCATGCTTTCCTTTATCTGAAATACCTTTCCAAACTCTGATGCTTTTTGTCTCATACTGTATTCACAGTACTAAATGGATCCACACTTTTTCTCTTCTCAGCATTCCAGTCTTACCCCCATTTACACAGACTTTCCTATTTCATATCATCTTTCCGTTACAACTCCTTGTTTCCAAACTAAACACCAAAGCTCTAGATGTCAGATAACATCCCACAATGGTGCTGTATCATATGAAAATCACAAGGCAGGCTTTTTAAGTTGAGCTGTTTCCCAAACCTGCCACAGGTGAAAAAAAATCCACCAAGTCTCTGCTGTGGCAAAAGCAAGTCAGGAATGGGGAAAAAAAGTGACTATTTTTGGCAAACGGGAGGCACAGGTGATAACATCAGGATAACAATATGTCCACAGAAGATATTTAAATAACATCCATAATGACACTCATGGCTTTCAATTTAGGCATTCCAAAAAGAATTACTTTAATGGCTTCCCTGGACAAATGCTGTCTTTTGCAGCCAAAAAATGTCTCAACGGTCCTTGTTTGGCCTTCCTCTGAACACGAGTCCGTTGTCACGTGTGCCATAGAAAGCAAGGGCAGAACAGAGCTGTGGTCGGTGGCATGGGGCAGCCGCAGGGCCGGCATCCTGCTTTACACCATGTGCACCGGCATCTGAGAGGAGGGTCCATACTGACGTCCATCACACTGGCCCACCCCCTGCTGGTTAGCAGCTGGACCACTGATCATGTGAACACCATCCATACCATTGGACAGGTACTGACGCTCGCCGAAGGCCCCGGGGGCCGAGGGGGACAGTAGGCCCGTCTGGACTGGTGCCAGCTTCTCCTGGCCGGGGCCCAGCCGTGCTGAGGCTGGGAAGTTATATCCATATAAGTTGTAGGGACTGTGCAAGGACAAGGTGTTATAAGAGCCTTGCTGCAAGTGGTGCCCGGTGCTGTCGCCAGCATTGCTGAATATGTGGCTGGAGTGGCCAGTGCCGGAGGGGCAGTGGGCAGAGCCAGGGGCATGGCCTCCGCCTGCCTGCATCACATACTGCAGCTGTGAGGCAGGAAATGAGCCCAGCTGCCCACTGTAGGCATCCAACTTGCCCCCACCACTGCTACTGACTCCACCTCCGCCGGTCGGTGTCCCTGCAGCAATGAGGGAGGGAGTCCGCTGGGGCAGGAAGGTGGTTTCTGACACTGGGGTGGGGGTGCCCCCCCCCTGAAGTCGGCCATACGGGGTTTCAGCCAGCCCTGTGTAGCCCTGCAGCGCTGCCATGTTGGCGCGGGCGCAGGCCGGGTACTCGGACAAGCCAATGCCACATAACTGGCTCTCTCGGCAGCCTACGTTGAAGGTGTGGAAGGCGGGGGGGGAGCAGGAAGGTGAGAGCAGGTGTGCAGCCCCTGAGGGTGAGGGTGTCCCTGTGCTGGAGGTGCTGGGGGAGGTGCCTGTGCTGCCACCTGGGGGGGGGCAGACAGAACACACATGCTGTCAGGTAGATGTCAATGACACCCCAGACAAGCTGCAGCTCATATGCTGCTGCCTGGCCTTTCAAATTCATATGACACTCTCAGCATCCTGAACACATTAATTGTTATATGACTCACACTGACTTTGATCCTAATGAAAAAAAAACCTGGCTGCAGGATCAGTCCCAGAAGAAACTCTTTTGTTGCATCCATGGGGGGGAAAAAACTTTTTAATCTCCCTCAACATTTACATTTACTTCATTTAGCAGATGCTTTTGTCCAAAGTGACATACAAGTGAGCGAAGCAGAACATTATTTTAATCAAGCACATAAATATTCTGCATGTTCATCTATCTATATGTAATATTAATAATCTCTCAATATGTCTGTTTTTAATATAATTATTAAATTAATTGTAAATATGATTCATTGTAATATTTAAAAATTTCACTAATAAGTCCCACAAAGTTTTGGTTTGCAGCATTCGCAGTTATTAATTAGGCTGCCGGGAAGGCCCACCTTGCTGCTTCTGCATGTTGGTAAAGTCCTCAAAGGTCAGCGTTCGCACAGGAGGCCTCCAGAAGGCGTAGGTCTCCATGATGGCCTCCAGGCCGGTCCTGAACACACATGAGCAGCCGAGACAGAGAGAGAAAGTGTTTGTGCTTATTAGTGTACAAGGGTGTATGTGTGAAAGAGAGAGTGGTGTGCAATAGAGGAAGTCTGGAGTTTAGGGTTCAGAGAGATAGAGAGGCGGGAGGGGAGAGAGAGAGCTTGAAGCGGGAAGGACAGGCTGCTGAAGCGGCACATAAATCTGGGCTGTGTTTCATCTCTGCCTCTTGCATGATTTACTGCTGTCACCAGGGCTGGGCCTCACCAAGGACTGGCCCCTGTGCAGGAGCTGTAACTCACTGGTAAGGCTGCCTTGTTAAGATCACCAGCCAATCAGCTTCGGGGGAACTCAGACTTCATAATTCACAAGTTCTCCAAAACACAGTAATAGGAACCCTCAAAAAATACAGTCAAAATGATATTTCTGGTTATAAAACCATAAGGAAAGTGGATTTCTGTGAGGTCCCAGTGCTGTGGTCTCATCAACCCATAATATATACTCTCACTGGAAATTCTAATTCATTTAACATTACAGTAAAATGCCACTCATGTCATCTACAAATATTTGAGAAAATTATAATAATTACTTCTACTTATACTTGCATTATCATTTATGATTAATTCTATTACATCTATTATATCTATAAAATTTACAAATTATAACAAAGTCCAAAAAATTTCCCTTTAAAGATGTATAAATTTTTTACTTTTCCTGTGTGTGTGAATGTATTCATACCAACAATTTTTGGTACAGGTCTTTCGGTTCGGTATGCACGAATGCAGCAAATGCAGAACCTGTGTGTGTTTGTGTGTTTCCCTCGAGCAACATTCGGAAAGGGGTGGATGAAGCCGCGCCAATACACATGTGCGTGTACGTCCTAATGTGAAGGTCGAAGTTGTTTATGTGAATATAAGTACAGCACAGGTATTTTAAAAATGCTGCACCATAATGAATTTTGATTTTGTTATGCTTTGTATCTTATGAGACGTTTTTGTTGCACAGTTCTAATATGAAGTTGAACAACACAGATCAGGTACAGTTCATTTTGTAAACATGCACCTTAATGGATATTTATTTTATTTTTATTTACTTGAGAGAATATATATTTTAATTTTACTTTTGAGTAAATTTTAGTTTTTTATTAGTTGGTTGCAGCATCATTCACAGAGGTGTTTTATTTCAGAAAGACAGTCATACCATGTTCTGTAAACCACTGTTTAATAAAGAAAAAAGGAGCAATTAATGTTTCGATTCTTTTACTCCTGCTGTACCGACAACATACTGAACTGTGACTTCAAAACCGAGGTACATAACAAACTGTGATTTTTCAATACTGTTACACCCCTGATAGATAGATAGATAGATAGATAGATAGATAGATAGATAGATAGACAGATAGATAGAGACAGTGTGTGTAGTATATATCATACAAGTTTATTAGCAGGAACAAAAATATACTGTTATATAAAAATGTCCTGATATGAATGGATGTGTAGATGTGATAGGTGCCTAGTCTTTTCTTGTCTTTATACTGTTATAGTGTAATGATGTACGTCAATCTGGAGCTTACATGAACACTAAGAAAATCAAATTATTGTGTTAGTCTGACTAAAATCGGACATTTAAAGTAAACGTAAACATGTTAGTCTGACTGAAATTGTGCTAAATCAAAGTTCTCAAAGACGGACTAAGACACCCAGATAATGCAATTGGGAGATGATTTACTCCTGCATGTACATGTTCAATTGGACTCAAACTGGTGTAAGCGCTCTGCGCATGCTCCACGGTCATCGGTCATCCCCCCACCCGGGCTTTGACCCAGAAGTAACAGAAGAAGCCTGTACACAGAAGAAGCTTGGGTTATAGCAGAGGACGTACAGCATGTATGAAATGTACAGCGCTGGAAAGCTGTCCAATTCACTGCTGAACTAAAGGGTGCTTTTCCACCACACCAGGAATCATACTTTTGGTATTTCAAGAAGGTACCAAAAGTATGGTACTTGAAGATGTTGGTTTTACTGGTACCAGTAAATATTCATATCAATATCGCATCTTATGCACATTTTTCAAAAATGCCCAATACCGTGTTGTCATAGTATGTTATGTAAAATACTTTATTTCTTGCTGTCCTGATATTGTATATGTTCTTCTGACCAGATCGCAATTAAAGCTTGTGTTACTTCATTTGTCGACGCATACATTATTATTAATTTTATTATTATTTTTACATCTGGCGTAAAACGTAAACCGGAAAAAGCCCATTTGAAGTGGAGTCGGACATACTTCGGTCAATAAAACAATTCCCCTCTCATGCATGTATAATAGGACAATGGCAGTAGTCTGATTCAATTTCATAGTTGAGCTATAACAGTAGCTCAACTTCTCTGTGCACGTAAACGTACTGAGCAATAAAAAAGATTTTACACAACAATCACACATTCTGTCATACACTTGGCAATGTGAAACCATCACACATGCCCCTTTACAACAGTCACATGCACCAATCATATACAACACTAAATAACATGCACTGTACAACACTCAGACACATGTCCTCATTATGTTTGAGTTTCTCACCTATTTCTGCCAGAATCTCTGAATCCTTTTGCAAAGGGATTACGGTCGATCTTAAGTCGGGTGATCTGTGGAAAAAAAGGACAGAAAAAATAATAAGTAATAATAATAATAAAAGAGAAAAATCCTAAGAAAAACAATAAGGTTCCATAGCACTATAGTGCTTTGGACCCTTAAATAAACAAACAAATACATAAGTAGCATAATAAAAAGCAGGCAGTAGATAACAAACCCATTCTATTATTTTTAACTTTCACTTCTAATGAACCAACAATCACATCATTTTAGAGCAGCACACTTACGGCTCAGCTCTAGATCCTGCAACATCTGCACCCAATTATAGCCCCCAGGGGGATCTTGTCTTGTCTGGGAACTTGCTATTAAGCATTGTGACATCAGAGAGGGGTCATCATATGAACTTGGCCAATCAGACATGATGATCTGTGCTGCTCTTTGAGCTCTTATACAATTCTGTTAACCAAAATCACTACATAGCATGTACATTTTATTCACTTTCCTATTGTTTTATTTGTCCTCATATAGGACAAATTGGGTCTTGGTGTATCAATTTGTTTAGTTCTGAAATTATTAAAACAGGAAATGGTTGGCCTCTCCTGGAGCCAACACCTTATTGTGGTGGAGGGGTTTTCGTGTTCCAATGATCCCAGGAGCTAGGTTTTCCGGGGCTTTATGCCCCTGGTAGGGTTACCCAAGGCAAACAGGTCCTGGATGAGGAACCAGACGAAGTGTAGCTCACAAGACCCCTAATGATGAACAAAATATTGGATCCAGGATTTCCCTTGTCCGGACGTGGGTCATCGGGACCCCGCCTGGAGCCAGGCCTGGGGGTGGGGCTCGATGATGAGCGCCTGGTGGCCAGGCCTGCACCCATGGGGCCTGGTCGGGCACAGCCCAAACAAGGCATGTGGGTCCCCCCTCCAATGGGCTCATCACCTGTAAGAGGGGCCATTGGGGTCGGGTGCAGTGTGAGTTGGCCGAAGGCGGGGACCTTGACGGTCCGATCCTTGGCTGCAGAAGCTAGCTCTAGGGACATGGAATGTCACCTCTCTGATGGGGAAGGAGCCTGAGCTGGTGCGCGAGGCTGTGAGGTTCCGACTAGATGTAGTCGGGCTCACCTCGACGCACGGCTTGGGTTCAGGAACCAGTCTCCTCGAAGGGGGTTGGACCCTCTTTCACTCTGGAGTTGCTCACAGGGAGAGGCGCCGAGCTGGGGTGGGCATACTTATTGCTCTCTGGCTGGGCGCCTGTACATTGGGGTTTACCGCGGTGGACGAGAGGGTAGCTTCCCTTCACCTTCGAGTGTGGGGACGGGTCCTGACTGTTGTTTGCGCTTATGTGCCAACATAATACCCACCCTTTTTGGAGTCCTTGGAAAGGGTGTTGGAGAGCGCTCCTCCCGGGGACTCTCTTGTTCTGCTGGGGGACTTCAATGCTCACGTGGGCAATGACAGTGAGACCTGGAGGGGCGTGATTGGGAGGAACGGCCCACCCGATCTGAACCCGAGTGGTGTTTTGTTGTTGGACTTCTGTGCTCGTCACAGATTGTCCATAATGAACACCATGTTCAAGCATAAGGGTGTCCATATGTGCACTTAGCACCAGGACACCCTAGGCCGCAGTTCGATGATCGACTTTGTGGTCGTGTCATCGGACTTGCGGCTGCATGTATTGGACACTCTAATGAGAAGAGGGGCAGAGCTGTCAACCGATCACCACCTCGTGGTGGGTTGGCTCTGCTGGTGGGGGAGGAAGCCGGTCAGACCTGGCAGACCCAAGCGTATAGTGCAGGTCTGCTGGGAACATCTGGCGGAATCCCCTGTGCAGAGGGAGTTTTAACTCCTACCTCCAGCAGAATTTATCCCATGTCCCGGGGGAGACGGGGGACATTGAGTCCAAATGGGCCATGTTCCGTGCCTCCATTATGGAGGCGGCTGACCGGAGCTGTGGCCATAAGGTGGTCGGTGTTGTCGCGGCGGCAATCCCCAAACCTGCTGGTAGACACTGGAGGTGAGGGATGCCGTCAAGCTGAAGAAGGAGTCCTATCGGGCCTTTTTAGCCTGTGGGACTCCGGAAGCAGCTGATAAGTACCGGTGGGCCAAGCGAAACGCGGCTTCGGCAGTCGCTGAGGTAAAAACTCGGGTATGGGAGGACGTTGGCGAGGCCATGAAGAACGACTTCTGGACAGCTTCGAGGAGATTCTGGTCCACCATCCGGCGTCTCAGGGTGGGAATGCGGTGCAGCATCAACACTGTTTATGGTGGGGATGGTGCACTGCTGACCTCAGCTCGGGACGTTGTGGGTCGGTGGAAGGAATAATTCGAAGACCTCCTTACCTCAATCCCACCGACACGCCTTCCAATGAGGAAGCACAGTCTGGGGACTTGGGGGTGGACTCGTCTATCTCTGGGGCAGAGGTCACTGAGGTGGTTAAAAAGCTCCTCGGTGGCCGGGCCCCAGGGGTGGATGAGATCCACCCGGAGTTCCTCAAGGCTCTGGATGTTGCAGGGCTGTCTTGGTTGACACGCATCTGCGGCATCGCGTGGACATCGGGGGCAGTGCCTCTGGATTGGCAGACCGGGGTGGTGGTCCCCATCTTCAAGTAGGGGGATCAGAGGGTGTGTTCCAACTATAGGGAGATCACACTCCTCAGCATCCCTGGTAAGGTCTATTCGGGGGTGCTGGAGAGGAGGGTCCGTTGGATAGTCGAACCTCGGATTCAGGAGGAGCAGTGTGGTTTTCACCCTGGCCGTGGAACAGTGGACCAGCTCTATACTCTCGGCAGGGTCCTGGAGGGTGTGTGGGAGTTTGCCCAACCAGTCTACAGTACATGTGCTTTGTGGACTTGGAGAAGGCATTCGACCACGTCTCTCTGGGAATCCTGTGGGGAGTGCTCCAGGAGTATGGGATGCCGGGCTGCCTTATAAGGGCTGTTCGGTCCCTGTACAACTGGTGTCAGAGCTTGGTCCGCGTTGCCGGCAGTAAGTCGGACTCGTTCCCGGTGAGGGTTGGACTCCGCCAGGGCTGCTCTTTATCACGATTCTATTCATAACCTTTATGGACAGAATTTCTAGGTGCAGCCAGGGCGTTGAGGGTGTCCAGTTTGGTGACCTCAGGATTAGGTCTCTGCTTTTTGCATATGATGTGGTTCTGTTGGCCTCATCAGACCGTGAGCTTTGTCTCTCACTGGAACAGTTCGCAGCCGAGTGTGAAGCGGCTGGAATGAAAATCAGCACCTCCAAATCCGAGACCATGGTCCTCAGTCGGAAAAGGGTGGAGTG